AAAATTAGGAGTATTTATAGTTTTTTTTAACCCCCACCCCCCACCCCCCAAAGGCCCCGGACCCCCCCTAGTACCCACCCAACGGCTATATAGCCGTTTGGGAAGTGGGTCAAGTGCTCAAAAGGCTTTTTTAATTTAAAAGGAATTTTTTTAAAAAAAAAATTGGAACGTTAGGCCCGGGCCGCCAAAAACAACACCCGAGCCCGGACCCGCCACCCCCACCGGTTCGGTGCCCGAACCGGACCCGGACCCGAGAACCGGGCCGGTTCCGGGCCCGCACAGTAACGGGCCGGGCCGGTCTGGGGCCGGGCGGCCCGCACCGGGTCCACCACTACTCTACCCATATTTCACTCCTTTAGTATACAATTGCCATGTGGCAACTTCTATTTCTACTTTACAGAAACAACAATGTATATAGCCAACTTACGAGCATCTACAATGCTAAAATGTACATGGTGCACATGTGGTAGAGAGATAGACACAAAAAATAAATTTATGACATTTTCTCTCCTTTCCACGGTTTTATGTGTTTTTGGTAAGTTTTTCTTTGCAATGTCGAACACAATGTCTACATGTAAACATTGTGTCTGGCATTGTAGAGAAAAACTTACTAAAAACATATAAGACCATTCAAACAAGGAGAAAGATGTACTATTTGTTGTTTTTAACTGGCTATCTCTCATGCTACGTATGAACCGTTCACGTTTTTTGCATTGGAGATGCTCTACGGATTAATAATAATAACATGAAGAAATGCAATTCGTGAGTCCAAATTATTAAAAACCCCATTTTTCTTTAAAATGTTATACAGGGCAACTTTTTCATTTTTACTTTAAATTCTTTTTGTATATTTAAATTCATAATTTTCTATGATCTTTCATATGACATCAATATTGCATTTATAAAACTAAAAATCATTGAAAGATTTTTAAGTAACATTTAGATATTTCAAGCTTTATATGAATTATTTGTTATTAAAAAATAGTACTTCCTAATATATGACCACAATAAGAATAATGAATATTATATGACTTATTTACTATTAGTGTCTATAATTATGTTCAAAATAAGGTTTAAAGATTTTTTTTTGTCTTTGCAGATATGACACGCTTTGTTTTAGATTCGTGCATTTTTTGTGTTTTTCAATCCTATAATATGCACTGTTTTATTTTTAATCCATCTCTAACTCCTACGATCTCCGTCCCAAAATACTTAGTAAAATCTGAAAGTTTGGACTATGGTTTTCATTAGTATATTACTCCCTCCGTCTCAGGGAGAAGTTCCCGGGTTGACTTTCACACATATTTAGGAAATAAAGTTACTGAGGAGTAAATTTTACTGTTTGGCACTGTTTCAACACTGTTTGGCACTGTTTAGACACTGTTTGGCACTGTTTTGCACTGTTTGATACTGTTTTGATGTAGGGTAACTTTCCATTTAGGGAAATGAGAACTTTTTGTTGGGACTACCAAAAAAAGAAAGTGGGAACTTCTCCCTGGGACGGAGGGAGTATTATAAAAGATAATTTTATACTTTTATGAAAGTAATTGTAACAAAGACTATTTTTATATCATTTGGGACTAAGGCTTGGATGATATTATTGTTGTCGTTGTTATGGTCAAAGTTTTGAATTCGGCTAAGTATTTTGGGACGGAGGTAGTATGATATAAAGTCATGATAGTTCAAAATTACGTTTTGTGGCATTCCACTCATAAGAACTGGTGAAAGAACATATATTCATCACTAGGAGTCGTTTAGGAGTAATCTTGAACCCTTGGTTGCTTTCATTATCATTTGAAACCCAAAAATATCTACTCTTTTCCTATGTCTTTTACCAAAACTCTTTTCAACTTTGAATCATATAATCAACGTTTGCTTGTGTTCGACTTGGTATTTTTACCGGATTTTATTACTACATTGGCACTTGTGCACTTGCAAAATTTAGCAGGTCAGACGATAATGATGAGGACGAACGGGGTGAAACGGTCTTTATTCACCCGTTTCTGCTTAAAAGCGGGCACAGCCGCAGGGGTTGGCCCAAGTCGATCGAGCAATTTAAACGGTGCTGCCGAAGGGATCTTGTCCTGAATCATGATCTTTTCCTCGATGGCAACGTACTACCGGGCCCTAACTAGCACTTCAGCATAGCTAGTACCCGGATCTTTCCTTTTATCCCGGTATAGCTCCCCAGTCTGGGGAACGTAGGTGAAGAGGGTGATGCCGGTACATTTGATCAGATGCTCGTCCTTTAGAGTCTCATCCATCCATCTACTCAAGAATTGGGAAAGTGATTCCTTCGGCTCCTGACAAACACTTGTGAGATAACTGAAATATCGTTTGGGGGTAGCGCTCGAGGTAAACTGTGCCAGGATCTTGGTCGCAACTGACTGAATCACTCATGGACAGGCCCTCGAAGAGTGGTGAAAAACAATATGCATGTACTCCATATAGCATCATCGGCTGTTCCTAACAACATGAGCCTTCCTTAGGATCTCTGCGGCCATGATCTCTAGAGTAAAAGTAGAGGTGGGCCCAACACGAGGCTGCTAGAGCTATTGCAGGAGGTAGAGGGAAGTATATGTGGTGAGTACAAAATTGTTAACCATTTACAATGAAGTAAATGCTGAGATGTATACTATGAGTGAGTAGTTGGAGAGGGTGACGTCGCCGACCCTAACTGGATGATCTCCCAATCATAAAATCCTTCATAGTTCATATCTCTTGCATTAAATGCGCTCTTGCCAATTCTGATGTTTTCCGCCAACTGTTTTGGGACGTTCCGCCATGGTCAGCTTGCTCAAATGCGGAAATGACTCAAGTGGGGCAATTGGGCCGTTCGATCGTTCCTGTGCGGCGCACACAATGCGGGTTGTCCCGAGCTGGATGAATCCGTTTGGTTGGCCATGTGGGATCTAGGCTTCTGAGGGATATTTGGGCATGTACTTGGATCGGTGCCAAATATCCCAACAAATATATAGGTCTCTATCATTGCATCTTCCACCTCCCAACACCATCATCCTCGATCACCTAAAAGTGTCTTTTGTGTAAATAATGCCACATTTCTCTGAAAGTGTCATGAAAACCACATTTTATTCTTCAAAAATATCAAGTTTTACTTTCAAAAGTGTTATCGAGATAACATTTTTTATAGGTTGACATTTTTTCCCGGCAACTGAAGGTGACGGTGCAGGAAGGTAGTGAGGTGGTGGTCGATACTTGTATATTTTTTATTTAGTTTTTTATGGTTTTAATTTTTTATTTTAAATTTTTATGTTTCATTATTACTTTAAAAAAATCATGTTCTTGCAATTCTGATTTTACTTAATTCCATTTAGGGGATTGTCGAAAACATAGTATATACTTCATTACTAATAACGATAACATTAAATTTTTGTGAAGGAGGGCAAAATTGACATTTCATTGATTGAGCTAAACCCTACCTTTGCATTTTTTTGAATGAAAGGTAAGGTAAGTATATTATCAAAACTATCAAGCTATACTAACTAAAATACTACGTCCCCCCGCGCGCGATATTGGGACATAAGGGAGTGATGTATTTTTTAAAGAAAAATAGAATTATATGGTTGATAATGAGTTGATAAAATAAGAATAAAGCAAGAATGAATTAGAACCACAAATGTTACCAAATATGCTATGAGGCAAATTTAGTGGGATAGACGGAAACGAAAAAATGTGACAATTATAGTGAAACGGAGGGAGTGGTATCTAACCATTCAACCTCCTTTCGGGGAATAAGCAGGGGGAGAGAATCTTAATGGAAAAATCCAAAATAACGCAAGATAGGCCCCAGTTCGTATCACAAAACCAAGTAATAAAAAATCACTCATGAATGAGTCATAAACCTCTCATAAGGCACCGGCCGCTGTGCCAGTAAAGGCTTATTGGCCAACAACGTATCCACATGGTAAATAGTAGGGGTGAGTTCGGTTCAAACGGTTCGGTTTTCACCTAAAACCAAATGCCGAATCAAAGTAAAAAGTTCAGTTGGAACCACGATTTGTTTGGTTCGGTTTATTTCAGTCCAGTCTCGATTTTTTCGGGTTTTACTACAATATTTTTGTTGATTAGAAAAGTAGTAATTGGAAAACAAAAAGAAAACAATAAACTACATCAAACTATTATTAATAGTAATACAATAAACAACATACATAATTAAAAGAAAGAAGAAATAAATGCACTTCCAAACAATGAATTAAAGAGTACGTGTATACCAATTTAAACATTTTCTAAATTAATTAAACACATGAGTTTATTTGTGAATTATATATAGTGTATTCGTAAGTTATAAAAATTTATTAGTAAATAAATTATTCTACTTTCTTTTATACATTGATATTATGCTCTAATGTTTCACATTTTTTGCTATGTTGTTTATAGTATAGTTTATATTAATACTCCGTACATATTTGTTCAATATAAAAATTAGGTGATAAAAAACATACATAGCATATGATATATCAACAAAATATCTTTGTCATATACTACGTATGTAACACCAAGCAAAATGTAAATTTCGATTTAAAATATCAACATGTTAGTATTATAGCAATAGAGTTAAGTGTCTGTACAAGTGTTTCACTTAATTAAACCACATATATTAAATTTTAATATCTTTCAAATAATAATAAATCTAGTATCAAACATTAATTTTATAGAATTAAGAACTAAATAAATTATTATACTTAATGATTAATAAATAAAGTAATAAATTTTAAAAAGTTCGGTTTATTCGATTATGTTTTGAGATGTGAAAACCAAAACCGAAACCAAACAACTATAATTCCGTTCGGTTTTTTGAGTTCGATTTTGGTTTTCTTGCGGTTCAGTTGTTTTGGTTGTGATTCAAGTTTTTTCGATTCGATCTTCGGTTTTGATTTCTCCAACCCACCTAGTAAACAGCACTCCACGAAGCCCAGCTTCAGTGCCCAAGTGTTACTCAAACGCCGGCCCAGATTTAGAACGATTGAAGGCCCGTCAACGAAAAGCAGCCTTCCGCAGCAAAAAACAGCGAAACCAACCAGCCCATCCGCGTGAGCCCAGGATCCAGCAAAGCATCCCTACCCTTACATAATACCAGGGTTCGTCTCCCTTCGCTCACAGCAGCCTCACAATCTCCAGGAGCGGCGGCGAAATCAGAGGGGAGCAATGGTCTCCTCTACACCTTACTCTGCTTTTGCATTCAGTTTTTCTAATTAGCACTGAAGAATGAATCTCCCCATTCGTTGTTTCTCATCTATTATATGTATGAATTCAGGCATCAGAGAAGAAATTGAGCAACCCTATGAGAGAGATCAAGGTCCAAAAGCTCGTCCTCAACATTTCTGTCGGTGAGAGTGGAGATCGTCTCACCAGAGCAGCTAAGGTACTCCACAGTGCTTCTGCTTTTCATCCTGTTTTCGTAAATTTGAACTAACTTTCGTCTGTACTTTAAGGTCTTGGAGCAACTCAGTGGCCAGACACCTGTTTTCTCCAAAGGTAAATGTTAACGCGTTTTGTTTCTTGTTGCTGTTTTGTCTTGGAAGTTTGATATTTTTCTTGTAGTTCCGGAAAATCGACAGATTTAGCTCATCTCATGTGTTATCCGTATAGTTATGTCTTATGTTAGTTTTTTCTTAGACAAGATGAATATTTCCCTGTTGTTGTATCATTATTTCTTAGTAAAGATATTGAACCTGTTAATTGTCTAGTGTTATTAAAAAAAACTCATCGTTGTTGCAAGAATTTCTAGGATTTTTTTTAATGAATGTATTGTCCTTTTCTGAATTCTGTAAAAGTAATTTGTTGGGCTGAATTTTAATTTCTGTAAAAGTGCACCATTTGAAGTTTAAAAATAGATACAAGTAGTGTTTTTAAGACGCTTCTTCTCCTTGACTTTAAGCACCTTTAGAACTAAAAGCTTTAAGCAAGATAATGCTTCAAACTCTCAACTTTGCTATTAAATTGTACGTAATTAATACACCAAATGATTTTCTAAACCAAACAGAACTTCTACCTTTGCACTGCTAAGTGCACTCTCTATGATCATTAAAACAAATCTTATCTCACAAGCACAATCAAATGCAAACACCGTCAGTGTAGTGACTAGTGAATTAAGATCCTATAGTAGAATTCCCTATTTGTTCTAATTTAATTCTGACTATTGTTTTCTCATTGACAGCAAGGTATACTGTGAGATCCTTTGGCATCAGGCGTAATGAAAAGATTGCATGCTATGTCACAGTCAGAGGTGATAAGGCAATGCAGCTTCTTGAGAGTGGATTGAAAGTCAAGGAATATGAATTGCTAAGGAGAAACTTCAGTGACACTGGGTGCTTTGGTTTCGGTATCCAGGAACACATTGATCTCGGGATTAAGTAAGACATGTGCATCTTTCTTCTTAAATTGTGTGTTTGAATACCACCATGCTTCTAATACTCATTTTGTCCTAAAAATATGATGTTTAAATAAGAAACAGCTGATATTATTTAGATTGACTTGGTTAAGGAAAAGCGTTCCTCTTATTCATCTAAGACCTTTGTCCAATTTTGTTTGGACTAGAGCTGAAAGTTGCGTGGCTTTTAATTGATTTTTGCTTTTAATTTCACTTTACAAAAAACCAGCACTCTTCTTTGGGACTAAAATTTCATGTAGGGTTGAGAGAGGGGGACTACATGAGCGGAGTACTTTAGTTGTGGTATTTTAAATCACGATTCTATTTTGTAACCTTAGTTGGCTGGTTCTTTGACTAATTATCATTATTATTATTACTCAGTATAACTTATTTAGATGAAATACTCCCATTTATTAAGATACACTCTCCTTTTTGAGTTTTACCATAAGAGTATACATTGTTCGAAATTGAATTCCGCACACTTTTTGCATTCCTATTATATCCTCTTTAACCCTTCATTTTTGGGTGGCTGCTTGCTTTTTAGGGGTTGGAATGGTAAAACAATCATTTATCATTTATTTTCTTAAAACTCGTGCCGAACTCATATGTATCTACATTGTGGGGCGGAGGGAGTGCGATGTTCCATAAAATTCCTCTCAGGGAATTCACCAGATTTAGTCGAGCACACCCTCAATTGGATCTTGTGTTACTCATCATGAATTTGTTTACATCCTTTTATAAATGGGTTCTCATCCTTCATTCGATTGTCCCTTCTTGCAGGTATGATCCATCAACAGGTATTTATGGAATGGACTTCTTTGTGGTGCTAGAACGCCCTGGTTACCGAGTGGCACGCCGGCGTAGGTGCAAGGCTCGTGTGGGAATCCAGCACAGGGTCACCAAGGATGATGCCATGAAGTGGTTCCAAGTCAAATATGAGGGTGTTATCCTTAACAAATCCTCCAACATCCAATCCTAATTTGAATTTGTGTTTCAGCTGTCTGTTTGTTACAACTCTTTGCTTTGTTCCAGCCATCCTTTAAATTCTGCAACTTTAATATGCTATTCATTTTTGGTAGATCACCTTGACTACAAGTTTTGTTCAGAGTAATGATATTTGAGAATGTGCTATGCCATTTGTATCCTATATTAATTTAATTCATGAAGTTAAGTCTCATTCAGGGGTGGACCCGGACCGGGCTCTGTGCTGAGCTAAGGCGGGCATCAGGTCAAAAATATTTGGGGCCAATACCAGCCTGGCCACTGCCTGGGGTAGTGCCGGGACTTGGTTGGGCCGGGTTGGGTTAGGCATGAAATAATAATTAGGCCCAGACTTGGCCCGGCCCGGCCTGGCTGGTCGCCTTAAAACACAGCCTGTAACCTGCCTGATTAAATCCCTGGTCAGGTAGTGGGCCTGGTTCCTGACCAGGTTGTTGGGGCAGGGCGGGACTAGGGCTGGACTTGGTTTGGGCCGGGCTCAGTCGGGCCTCCGGTCCTATAAAGGGGGGCCCGGAACCGGCCCGTACTTCTCCTGGTGCCGGTTCGGGCCGGGTCACCCGCCGGGCCCCGGGCTGGGCCACCCGCTGGGTCGGGTGGGGCCTAGGTTATGATTATTATTTTTTTTTTATCTTTTTAATACAACTTAAATATGAAATACATTTTTCAAAAAATACTAATACAATAAATTCTAAGTTGTAAGTTTGTAATCAATTAATTTGAGAAGTGCTACATATAAAAAAAGAATGTATATTTATTTGAATTATGAAATACAACTTTACAAATTACAATAGAGAATTGAAAGAAAAATTAAAACATGAAATGCATTTTATAATAAATTGTAAAATACTAATCAATCGGAATCTTTGGCATAGAAGCAACCCTTGGTTGTTGAATCATTCATAAAGTCTTGGGAGGGGGTGATGCTAACTTTTTGACATCTACGTATGACCTTCAACCAATCGTGGTAGCATATGAGCGTCTCAAGAGACTCGGTGCTCAAACTCATTCTAGATGCTGTTAGAACGTTGCCGGCCGAACTAAATTCTTGTTCCACGGCAACTGTTGAACCGGCATTGATAGCACTTGCTTAGCCATCCGTGCCAAAATTGAGAACATTCTTTCTTTTGACTTCTACACTTTAGAACGTCAAACTCCTCATTTTCGTCAAATTCTACCTCATAATTTATATACAAAGAAATCTCATTAAGTGCACGAAACTCATTAAATAAAGCATAAAATAAATTACTAACTTCATTGTATTCAACTTGAGGATCTATGACGTTATCATCATACATTGGAAATGGGCCAAAAAAAGCATTATAATAGAACTTCAAACATTCTTCTAAATTACCAAGTCTATAACGAGGATCGAGAATAAATGCAATACTATAAATATGCGGAATATGTGCATAATATTTTAAAAACTTTTCCTTCATAAAACCACAAAAATAACTCACGTAAGCGGCATTCTCAAATTCATTAAAAGCACCGGCGAGATTAACAACTTCACGAATAAATTCATTTGAGGTATGTTTATAAACATGACTAAAACTTTCAGTTGCATTATTAAAATATATCAAAACATTACAAATTTTTTCGCAAGTGTCAATGTGAGCGGGGTTTAAAATATAGTTATCATATTGTCTTAAAAAAGCAGGAAAATATTCTTTATATCTAAGAAGAACTTTAATTAATTTGTAAATACTATTCCACCGAATAGACAAATCTTTAGGGAAAGCAACATATTTCACACCTCTTTCAATCAAATAATTTTGCCATTTTAATTTAAGTTGATCATCGCCCCAAATACGTCTAATCCCTCCCCTTGACTACCTCCATAGCATCTCCTAACGCTTTTATACCGTCTTGCACATATAAAATTATAATATGGCATGCACATCGTTGATGAAAAAATCTACCCATCAAAATATTAGAACCACATAATTCACGCAATCTAGGTATAACAACAGTATTATTAGTATCATTATCAAAACCTATAGCAAACACCTTAGCAATCAAATTATACACAGTTAAAATACGTTCAATCAAAATATAAATATGTTCAGCGGTGTGACGATCATTAAATTCACGAAAAGCAAGAACACGTTTATGCAAATTCCAATCACTATCAATAAAATGTGCAGTCAGGCCCAAATAATGTAAATTATGATAAGTGTTGGGTTAAGGGCCCAAGCCGAGGTCCGGCCCACTAACCCATTTCGCTAGACGAACGTCCAGTTAGAACACTAGGCCAGCCCACAGGCCCATGTTCCACGGGGATGGACGAACGTCTAGTGTTGGAGGACTCAGGCCCAGCAGCTCATCCCGACGAACGTCTATGCAGGGACAAGGAGCAGAACCACGGGCCACCAGGAATGACGACGAACGTCCCCAGAGCAAGCCTGTAGTCATCGGAGAAAACCCAGTCCACATGGTGAGTATCCACCAAGGCCAGGAGACGAACAGCCGATATCCCTCAAGGGTCCTTTGGAGCAATCCAACTCACTTCCCGGTGGACGAACGTCCCCACTGATCTGGCGGGAAACCTAGATTCTGGCGGGAAGTGCATTTAATGCTAAAGATTTGGTAGTTGGGACACCAGCGGTCCACAGGCTGCCACGTCACTACAGCCACCTGCCCATTGGCGGGTATAAATAGAAGCATTTATTTCATTGTAAGGGGTTGGCAACTTTCTATTCTTAGCATACTAGCTTCAGCATTCTTACTCGCAGCATTTCTAACTGCCTTGTAAGACGAACGGCCGATGTGCCTTTGTTAGCAAGTAGATTGTACTTAGGGGAGTTATTACGAAGTTAATAATACCTATTTACATTGCCTGCTATTACTCTTGTTTCCTGATTCATCTAATAGTTGTTGGGCTAGATAACCATACACTCACTCCATTCGAAACCTTTGGGCTTACGTGTTGGGTCCACGGGTTGAAGGAATAAACCTCAACACTGGCGCCGTCTGTGGGAATCTGAGCGAAAAGTTTCCAGAAACTCTCCCAAACAGCTACTAAGTCTACCTACTGCAAACACGATGTCAGGAAGCAACACCCAGCGTGATCTCTCCGAGCGTCTGGAGTCGAGCCGGCGGAACCGCGGCCAGAACTCGGAACTATCCGCAACAATATGGACTTCAGGGGGAAACGGGGGTATCACTGACCTCATTCCCCTGGAGGCCAGGCAGGATCCCCGCCTCATGCGTGAACTCGCAGACACCATGCGTCGCATGGCGGACGAGCGGGAGGCCCGAGAGCAGGTGTACTCTGCAAGCACTCAGCGAACGCCCCTCTCTCCCATACGCCGCATGCAGTCGTACGATGATACGACGGGGTCCAGTGACCACCGGCCCTCAGTCCACGAGCGGCTAGGTGGGGGTTCAGGCTCCCGTGAAACGGAAGGGCGGACCAGGGTTAGCATCGCTGCATCCAGGGCTCTCACACCATCGATTCCTCGCCAGATTCCGCGGGGAGACGAGACCCCAAGGGTCAACACCGTTGGACGACGTTTCCAACGGCGAGGTGCGCAGATCTTCAGGCGGCCGCACGATGTTGTGGCCGCTCAGCAGAATGCCACCCCCGAAGCCGCGCCCCCTGTGTCCCCCGGAAGGGCCGCGCAGGACGCACGGCTGGAAGCCATGGAGAGGCAGATAGCCGAGATGAACAGGCGGGCGGACGCCGGCTCGGCCACACCCTCCTTCTCTCTCACATCACCTTTCACTCCACGGGTGATGAGCGTCGAGATCCCCCGGGACTGCAGGCCCCCGGGGAACTTGGTGTATAATGGGGCTGGTGATCCTAAGGCCCATCTGATAAGCTACCAAGGGAACCTGTCCATGCTGGGAGCATCGGACGAGGCCATCTGCAGATTGTTCTTCAGCACCCTCAGGGGGCCAGCTCAGGAATGGTTCGGCCAGTTGAGGCCGGGCACCATTGACTCATATGAACAGCTTTCCCGGCAGTTCATGGCGCAGTTTGCTGCCAGCACCACCCCCAGGAAGGATGTCACGGCACTCGCCCACATCAAGCAAGGGCGGGACGAACCGCTGGCTAGGTTCCTGGTGAGGTGGAGGGACGAGGTACTGCAGGTCGACGATCTGGACGAACGTCTGGCCACCAACATGTTCACCAGTGCGCTGGCCACAGGGGATCTGTATCGGGACCTAAGGAGGAATCCCGGCACCAACTACACCGAGGTTTTGGCCCGGGCACAAAAGTATGCCTCCATTGAGGAGGAGATCAGGCAGCGGGACGGAGTTCCCGCGGCCCAGCCTAGGAAGATGGCGGACAGGCTCGGACCTAAACCAGGACCCGGGCCCTCTCCCCCAAGCAAAAAGAAGAGGGTGGACGGGGCGATGGTCCCTTGGAAGGCTCCGTCCGGGGACAGTCAGACGCGGCCAGACGACCGCTATATACCTTTGGCCTATCCAGTGAGCCAGATCTTCGAGGCCATCAAGGACAAGGGCCTCCTGACAGAACCCCAAGATATGAAGAAGTATATGGGGCTTGACCAATCGGCTTACTGTGAATACCATCAGAGGGTCGGCCACCTGACGGACAACTGCAGCCAATTAAAGAAAGCGATCGACGAGCTGATACGTCAGGGGTACTTGGGCGAGTTCACCCAGCTGCTGAACAAAAACAGTCAGCAGAAGCCGAACCCAAGGCACAAGACATGGCGCCGCGACGACCGGCGCGAAGCAGAACCTCAGGACGTGGATTATCGGAGTGCAGATAAACGTCCGGAGGGATCCCTTGGCCCAAAGGGCAAGAAGAAGAAGTTGGAGATCAAGGTGATCTTCGGGGGCGCTGAGACAGGAGATACACCCGCCGAGCGGAAAAAATTTGAGAGATCACTCTATGTGGGTTCCGTATCAGCACCCCCCACCAAGCGCAATAAGACCGAGGCAATTACCTTCGGCCCCGCTGATCTGCCAATGTCACCGGCGCCGCACAGAGACGAGCTGGTGATCAGCATGGATGTGAATGATGCCATCGTCCGCCGCGTCCTTGTTGATACTGGGAGCAGTGTGAACATCCTCTACTGGGAGGCTTTCGAAGGAATGAAGCTCAGGAAGGACATGCTGCGCCCTCTGCGCACCCCGCTGTCCGGTTTCACCGGGGACTGCATTGACGCCGAG